CTAACTAGACCTCCAATCCTTAAGGACGATCTATAACAAATTTTTTTTTTATTTGTTCCGCATTCTACTATATTGCACCCAATCGATCAATAAATTACTTCACCGACATTTTCAAGTTTTCTTAAGGTGACATGAAGTTGTTTAGTGATTGTATCCAATAGAGTATTTACGATATGATGCCCAAAATCAAAACCTTTTACGAAGGATTGAAAGTAATGAAGTCAAAGCCGCCTTAATCAGGCCTAAACAACTTGAGTCAAACCTCTTCTTTTGATCATCTAATCCTTAAAGACATCAAGCAAATAGCTAGAATTTTTTTTTGAAATTAGCTTTTCGTTTGTTAATCGATTTACAAACAAGGATGTCAACCTACTTGTTAGGGAAGCCATGTTTAAGTCAGATTGTTTTATATTTTCTTCATGTTCTTCCTTTCTCTCCGGTGTACTACTTTCTAATTTGAATCAATGAATTATCATGTTAAAAAATTATCTTCACAAAAAAATAATAATCTGAAAATGAATTTGAAAGGTAAAGCCATATGATTGAGCTTAAATGGAGCTTAAACTTGGATTCCAACGCTCGAATGGTAATAGAAGATCTGCAATCATTATTGTGTGGACCACAGTCCAAAAATACATTATTCTAACTCATAAAATATATTATTCTAGCACATAAAGTACATTATTCTAACTCATAAAATACAGTATCTTACCTCAGAAATTCCATTATTCTAACACATAAAATACATTATACATTATTAACTCATAAAATACATTATTCTAATATATAACGTACATTATTCTAACTCATAAAATACATTATTTTACCACAGAAATTTCATTATTCTAACACATATAAAGTACATTAGTCTAACTCATAAAATATATTATTTTATTTCAGAATGTTCATTATTCTAACACGCGCAGAGCAAAGAATTTTTTTTTTTTTTTTTTTTTTTTTTTTTTTTTACATCAAAACGACATCATTTTAAACCGTGATTCACACAACACACAATAATTTGCCGAACATCTGTATATGAACTAAATTGGTTCACCGGATACAAGACTCACCAAAAATAATAATAATAAATAAAGGCAAATTAAACGTCAATACAGAGAGGAAGAATCCACGGGGAAAATTGAAGTAGAGCTTGAGCCGGAACAAAGAGATTAGTATCCAAAATTCTTGACTAGAGAAACCATTGGTTTTACACCCCAAAATTATAAACATCACCTTTATATTCTCATGTGTTGAGCATAAATATATAAATATTAAATGTTAATAAGATTCTAACACTTTTAAATTATTATTATTTAAAAAAAGAAAAAAAAAGTAATTATCCTCAAACTGAAATAAGTTGTAAAATTGGTTGCTACTCATGTGCAATCATTATTGCATGGACCATGGTCCACACAATTATATGGATCATAGATAAAAAGTACATTTTTAATATACTAAGGGTATATTATTTATGTACGTAGGGTACATTTTTTGAAAGTACATTTTTAATATACTAAGGGTACATTATTTTATATAATGTACCTTCAGTACAAAAGTAATGTACCCTCAGTACAAAAATAATGTACTTCTAATATATTAAAAATGTACATAATATTTATGGTCCACACAATAATTTGTCCTCATGTGGCAATTCATGTGAATAATTTTTACGGAGTACTAATTTAGAGTTTTGGACACCGAGTTAAAATCCTCCACTCCATAATAGCCAAAAGACTTCTTCCTCTAGACAAAGGCAAATGTGATTTTGCATTTATCTAGACATGGTAATTATCGACACGATCCGTTAACACGACACAAAATCATACACAAAAATAACGGGTTAACATTTAGCCTTAACGTGTCTCGAGTCGTTAACTGATTGACTCATTACAGGCATGTTATGTTTTGTGTCTTAGCGGATTAATCCAGAACCCGTTTAATCCGTTAATATAAAAGGAAAGTAAAAAGTAAAAACCCTAAAAGACTTGGAATTTGGAAAGTTCTATTCTTATTTAGTTATTTTTATTCTATAAAAAAAAAAATCACGTGGGAATTTAGATAATTAGATGGTTTCATTGTGATTTACATCCTCCTAAATGCTCTGTTAAGTTGGGTGTGGAGATCCTTGGAGTTGGAAATTCAACCTTGATGGGAGAAGATAAACTTGTTTTCAATGTATTTATTACAACCTCTAAGCATTTATGCTTTTTTCATACACCATTCAATATTTTCATCTTATTAATTTGGATTCAATTTGAGTTACACTTGCAGAGCTTGACTCTTAGATAAAAAGTTGATCTATAATTCTTTAACATGGTGCACTTATTACACAAGTCAAACTTTTGACGTTGCAATTTTTAAAAAAATATTTGGATAAGTTTATACAAAGGTTTGAAATTGTTTGTTGAACTTTTGACAGTTCCAATAATGCCACTTTAATTTTGGTTTAGGATTATAGCGGCATTTTCACTTTTGGTTCTTAACCATCAATTTGATCACTTTTGTTTAAAATTGACCAAATTTGATATTTTTAAATAAAAAAAATGTTTGAAATGTACCAAGCATACCCTTTTCTTATAAGAGTATTGTATACATGTTATATTAAACGTTTTTTAATACTATTGACTCTATTACGATGTAGTATATGTTTTATACTTTCTCTAACTACTGCAGTCCAAAGAGTCAATACCCTACCATTGGGGTTCAATCTTGTGACCTTCCCTCAAAGGGAACCACAAATGTGTCATGCACAAGGTGCTTGGCGGCTTTCAGCTTAATTCTTAATTTCTTTTATGGCATGAAATTGTCTAAGGCTTCAAGAATCAACCATTAGATCACTAAATACTCCCTGAAGGCGGAAGTTTTACAAATAATCTAAATACTTTAATAGGTTTAGTGGGTTTTAACGGGTTTCATGTCATATCGTGTCGACACGATCCAAAACTTATTAACAAAACGTGTCTATTGTGTCAACCCGTTTACAAATCGTGTTCGTGTTAAGAATTTCTCCCAACCCGTTAACCTTAACGGGTCGTGTTCGTATTTAATCTTATCGTGTTCGTGTCGCTATCCTATCGACCCGTTAACGAACCCGTATACACAAATTGTCATGCCTACCTTTATCCATGCCAGGCCAATTTTGGACAAAGACATGGTAAAGATTGCATCTTTATTTAGATTTGGGCCCTATTTGGTAACATAGTTAGTTGTTTGTCTTAGTTAAACAACCTATAAGTGTTTGAGTAATTAACTTTTTGTAACAACTTATTACTCCAAAATGCTAAAAAAAATTAAAAATTAAAAAAAAAACTGCTCAAAGCAACTTTTTCGATCGAACTTTTTTTAGAAAATCATTTTGCATGTAATCAACTATTAACTAATAACTAATTTACCAAACATCTCTCTACAATCAACTAATGCCAATTAATTTAACTATGTTACTAAATAATCATTAAATCTTTAATCAGGGAATTAACACTCTGGGGTCCCCAATGGCAAGTTTCTCTTCTCCTTCTTGTCTCTGATGGCAAGTTTTTGTTTCTCTGCCCATTAATGTGCGTCTACCTACCTCGGATCTAAGCATTATTGCTCTTTAAGCTTTGCCTTCCCGTATCTTGTGTCATTTATGATGAATTTATTGTGAAACTACCATCCTGTTTGCTTTATACTTTGCTTCACTGCTTTTCTTTGGTCTGTGTTTCCTCATCCTTCCCCAGTCTTCCTCCTTCTCCTTGTCCCCATATTCTTTCAGTGTGGTGTGGTCATGGCGTCCGGAAGTAGAGGCAAAAAACCAATGTGGGCAACTGAGGATATCCAGAACAAGCAAGACATTTAAGTTGATGATATTTCTATTATAGTGGATGAAATACTAACCCTACCTGAGGAGGAGTCGTTCACACTGGTGGGCACATTCCTGACACACAAGACCATAAAGCTTAACTATATGCAGGAAACCTTGGCAGCGGTTTGGAGACCAGGAAATGGTATGATGGTCAATGAGGTAGCCCCCAACCTCTACTTGTTTGAGTTCTTCCGAAAGAAGGATATGATGAGGATACTGGAAAAATGGCCCGTGGTCTTATGATCAAAACCTTCTGGTTCTTAAGGTTTTGGGAGAAAGAGAATCCTCGTTTGATACTTACCTGACTACAACTGAGCTCTGGGTGCAAATACACAGAATACCTCGACAACTTACATCTTTGAGGAACGCTGAAGCGATAGGAAAGCACTTGGGAGTGTTCATTAAAGCAGATATCTCCAACTTTGACGGATCATGGAACGCGTTCATAAGGATTAGAGTGCGTATCGATATAACCAAGCCCCTGAAGAAAGGAGTCAGAATACAACCGGCATCAGGAGACGGTATATGGCTGGAATGCAAGTACGAGAGGCTCCCGACTTTTTGTTTCATCTGCGGTCGGCTTGGACATGGAGAAATACACTGCCTTGATGAGTTTGATGATGATGGGAAATAAGAGGAGAAGGCTTATGGTCTTGGGCTGAGAGCCTTGGGAAGAAGATCCCTACCCTCTGGAAGCCAGTGGCTTCTGAAGGAAAGGCCGGCGAGGAGCACGATCGGGGATGCAACCGGCACCGGTGAACAGCAATAGATGGGGAGCTCGCGTGCCGAGGTACGAGGAGGAGTGAAGTTACCCGGACAAACGTTTTACCCAAAGAATATTGGTCAGACTAATACCTAGTATATGCAGACTACCGGCGACAGCAGTACTGCATGCGAAGCATTTAATGCTAAGACAGCTATGTTTGACACGCTACATCAAAGTCAATTACTAGGGCCTGAAATGGGGTTTTTGAGTGCAGAGCAAAAAAAGGAGAAAAAGAGATGTTGGAATGACTGGGCCTAACCCTTATGAGGCGGTTGGTGTGGAAGGAGAGGGCCCTATTGATGTGGTGGGCATGGTTTTGGATCAGTGTGTTGAAGATGTGAACCAAAAAAACGTGTTAGAGGCGGGTCCTGGATCCCAGGCCCGCCTAGACCAATGAAAACTTTAGTCTGGAACTACCGTGGGCTGGGCAATCCCACGTCAGTTCAAGTATTAGTGGATCTCATCCACCTAAAGAAGCCAGATATAGTGATATTAATTGAAACATTAGTGGGCCAAAGAAAACTAGAGCCCATTAAGAGGAGAATTGGTTTTGATGGTCTGTTAGTTGTGGAGAGTAGGGGGCATAGTGGTGGGCTTGCTTGCCTTTGGAGGGTGAGCCCACTAGTTGAAATTAAAAGTTATTCGGACAGACACATTGATGTGTTTGTTGTGGAAGGGGATGGAAAGACGAAGTGGCGTGTAACTGGTTTCTATGGCGAACCAGATAGAGGCAGGAGGCATATCGGCTGGAATCTTCTCAAGGAGCTCTCCATGCAACATAACCTTCCTTGGGTTGTTGTTGGAGAATTCAATGATATCATGCATGAAGACGAGAAGAGATGTGGCAACCCCCAACCAAGATGGCTCATGAACGGGTTCCGAGAAGCTGTAGAAGAGAGTGGCCTGACTAATTTCAATTTCGAAGGGCACCAGTTTACTTGGGAGAAATCTCGGGGCAAATCGGGTTGGATACAAGCAAAGCTAGATAGAATTTTGGTTTCGGATGCTTGGAGGGATCTGTTTCGAGGGGCGATAGCGACGTCAATTATCACTTCGCGTAGTGATCACATGTCTCTATTGATTCAGACGGAGAGTCCATCGTTTAGTCAGAGCATGAGACGATTCAAATTCGAGAATTTGTGGCTGAAGGAAGGATAGTGTAGGGATGTTGTGATTCAGAGTTGGAACTCCACGCAAGGGCTACTGGACCGTTTTGAGATTGTGGTAGATCTATCTGGAGGTGGGGGAGGCATTTGACAAAATATTTCCAAAATAGAGTTGATTATTGGAGGAGAATGATGGAGTCGTTGAAGGGTAGGAGGGATGTTCGGAGCTGTAGCAGATTCATTGAAGCCCAACACCAGCACCTGCGAGCCCTTGACCAGCAGAACGGCTACTGGAAGCAGAGAGCAAAAATCTTTTGGCTCAAAGATGGTGACCAAAATACTACCTTTTTCCACAATGCGGTTCGGAGGAGAAGGCAAAGAAATCGAATTACAAAGTTGAAGCGAAGTGATGGTACCTGGGCTGACAGAGGTAATGGTTTAAATGAGCTTATAACTGAGTACTTCCATGTTCTGTTCAATGAGTCTTCTCATTTTCTTAAACCCGTTCTGGATTGTTTTGAAAGGAAAATATCTGAATCCAAAACACTTTGCTTGTTAGAAAATTTAGTGCCGATGAGATTAAAAAAAAAAAAAAAATCCCTTTTTGAGATGAAGAGTGACAAATCTCCGGGACCGGATGGTTTAACCCCGGGTTTTTTTCAATGTTATTGGGATGTTGTGGGGAGGTGATGTGCTGAGATTTTGTAAGGAATTTAGAATATCCAAGTCCCTACCCTCTGGGAGTAACAACACCCAAATAGTCCTTATTCCAAAGATTTCTAGCCTAGTTTCTATGGCTAACCTTAGACCCATATCCCTCTGTAATGTTGTTTACAAAATCCTTGCCAAGACCTTAGCAAATAAAATAAAGCCCCTCCTTAGCTCCATTATCTCAAATAGCCAATGTGCCTTTGTACCTGGTAGATTGATCTCCGACAATATCCTCCTAGCCTATGAAACGAATCATTTCCTAAACAGAAAGACCAGTGGGAATATGGGGAGTGTGGGGATGAAGATTGATATGAGCAAGGCTTATGACAGAGTCAATTGGGATTTAGTGGAGGGAATTATAGAAAAACTGGGTTTCTGTAATGATTTTGTGGCCATGGTTTCGGGTTGTATTAGGTCTGTGAGGTTTACAGTGCTCCATGAAGGTCAAGACTTGGGCCAATCATTCCTGAAAGAGGTCTTAGACAAGGGGACCCCTTATCCCCTTATCTATTTATCATTTTGATGGAGGGATTGAGTGCGATGATAAAAAGAGAAGAGCAATGTGGGAATCTTCATGGGGTATCCATAGCCAGGGGGCTCCTCAAATCACACATTTGTTTTTCGAAGATGATTGCATGTTGTTCTGTAGAGCAAATTCTTATGAGGTCAATGTGCTAAAAGCTATCTTAGAAGAGTTCTCGGATGCTTCTGGGCAACAGGTTAATTTGGGCAAGTCTGATCTTACCTTCAGTAGGAATGTGGATGGGCCCTCAAGAGAAGTTGTGACAGAGATTATTGGCTTTGGGGAAGGAAATCAGAGAGGAAAGTACCTTGGCGTTCCTTCTTTAGTTGGCAGAAGAAAAAATGAAGTTTTGGGATTTATAAATGACAAGATTCTGAGCAAAATAAGGAGTTGGAACAATAGATTTTTATCTCGTGCAGGCAGAGAAATCTTAATTAAAAATGTGCTCCAAGCAGTCCCGACATATGCAATGAGCACGTTTCTTCTGCCAAAAGATCTCTGTAGGAATGTGGAGAATTCCCTTAACAGATTCTGGTGGAAAGGAAGCTTGGAGAATGGTAAAGGAATAAATTGGAAATGCTGGAAAGATCTTTGCAAACCAAAAGCATGTGGAGGAATGGGATTCCGGAGAATGAGAGAGTTCAATTTAGCATTGTTAGGCAAACAAGGATGGAGGTTCATGCACTACCCGGATTCTCTTGTCACAAAGGTTTTCAAAGCTAAGTACTTTAGGCACTGCTCGTTCTTAGAAGCCAGGCTGGGTACAAACCCGTCATTTGTGTGGTGTAGCATTATGGAAGCTCAAGGGGCCCTTAAAGACAACTGTAAATGGCGGGTGGGTGATGAAGTTCTATCAATGTGTGGCAGGATCCTTGGTTAACAGACTCACAGTCTCCATTCATAAAGACATCGATGCCACCCTATCTCAATGAAGCTAAGGTCTCCTCCCTTATGAAAGTTAATGGGACTGGCTGGGATGAAAAATTAATTGATGATATTTTTGAGAAGGAAGATAGGGATAACATTCTGAATATCCCCTTACCAACCTCTGGGCATAAAGATAAGCTTTATTGGAGCAAGGAAGAGAAAGGGATCTACTTTGTAAAAAGTTGTTACAGACCATTATCTGGTGAAATGATTATGGATCACAATCTTAAATGGCCAAACATGTGGTAGCTATCTCTTCCCCCAAAAGTCAAAATTTTGGTCTGGCAAGCATGCAGGGATATTCTTCCACAGCAGTGAACCTTAGCAGCAGGAAAGTACAGTGCCCTTTGCTTTGTGGCTTATGCACTCAGGATTTGGAGTCTACGGATCATCTTTTTATGCAGTGTGGCGTTGCTAGAGCATGCTGGAATAGTTTTGGGGGGATTGTCATGCATGATGATTGCTGTTTTGAGGAATGGTTGTGCAGGAACATGGCTCATCTCAATACCTATGACATGTGTCATGTACTAACCACATGTTGGAAGCTTTGGGGCGCAAGGAACCAGAAAATCTGGGACATTACTCAACCTAATCATTTGGCCATCCTTGCTGATGCCAAAGCTTATCTAGATGCGTGGATGGAGCTGCATTGCAAGGTCTCAGGAAACAACATTGAAGCACACAAAGAAAGCTAGAAGAAACCACCCCAAGGAATGCTAAAACTAAATGTAAATGCAGTTATGGATAAACATTCTAATGCAACAGGCCATGGGTTCATCTTACGGGATGCTTGTGGATGCTTTGTGGCTGCTACGGAAAGGAACTGGAAAAGAATCTATCAACCAAGAGTGGCAGAGGCAATCGGAATCAGAGAAGCTCTTAATTGGATAAAGTCCTTAGGCGTTAGTAATGTCCAGGTCGAGTCTAATGCGAGCACGGTGATTGATAGTATAAAAGTTGAGTCAGATTTGACAGCTTTTGATCTTATTATTCAGGACATTAGAAGTTTAGCTAAGAATTTCACTAATATTAGCTTTGTGTTCGCTAGACGTTCTGCGAATAAAGCAGCACATACACTTGCTAGGGAAGCTGTATTCATAGCTGAACGTAGGGAATGGAGTCTGTATCCTCCGAGTTCCCTTTTGGATGTACTTTGCAGTGATTTGTGTTAATGAAGTTCTCTCTTTATTTAAAAAAAATAAAAAAATTCTTTAATCAGGGACGGAGCCAAAGGGGGCAGGGGCAGCTGCCCCCCTCCCCCACCCCATATATAACATTTGTATGTATATATGTATATATAGTACAAGTTTTAGTATTAGTATAAAGAAATAGATGAATTTTAACAAGAAGTGAGTTAAATTAGTTGGCAGAGCACATATTTGGTTATAATGAAGGTCCAGGTTTCAAATTCTTAGTTGGAAGTTTCATAGTTTCTCTTGGCTACTTTAATAACTTTTATAATATTTAACACACACACACACACACACACACACACACACACACACACACACACACACACATATATATATATATATATATATATATATATATATATATATGCACTCAGGTGCGAATAAGTGTCCAGGAAAGAATATGCGAACGAATCAGTGCGTGACACGTGTCCAGATCTAATAGATTAAAAAAATGTGGTGGCATTTTCGTAAATAATTGAACATCGAAGTGCAAGTAAAATCACTTACAATTGCACCTACTTTCACCTATAAGTGCATGTAATTTTGCGTTGTTAACATTCACTTCCCTCAACCATTCATTCATCTAGGTACACCTACTTATAACTATAGGTGCAACTACTTATAACTATAAGTGCACTTACTTTCACCTATAAGTGCATGTAATTTTGTCTTGTTAACATGCATTCACTTCCTGTACCCATTCATTCACCTGGGTGCACCTACTTATAACTATATGTGCAACTACTTATAACTATAGATGCACCTACTTTCACCTATAAATGCATGTAATTTTGTCTTGTTAACATTCACTCCCCGCAACCATTCATTCACTTGGGTGCACCTAGTTATAACTATAAGTGCAACTACTTATACCTACAGGTGCAACTACTTATAACTATAGATGCAATATAACTATAGGTGCACTTCGTATTGATGTCACCTATAATACATTTTACTTGCACTTCGATGTCCAATTATTTACAAAAATGCCACCACATTTTTTTTAATCCATTAAATATGAACACATGTCGCGCTCTTATTAGTTCGCATATTCCTTACGAGGAGCTTCATTCGCACTTGAGTGCAATTCTATATATATATATATATATATATATATGTAACACTCTTTTATATTAATAATGAGACGTAATTTATAATGTGTTCTCTATTCAAATTATTTTATCAAATTAAGAGCAAATTACACTTTTGGTCCTATGACTATAGGGGGTGTGTTAACACACCTCCTATAATCATAGGACCAAAAGTGTAATTTACTCTCAAATTAATTATGTTTCAAATATTTTGTTATGAATATTTTTATAAAATTTTGATGTGTTCTATTTTGTTTTCATGTTTTGGCTTCATTCGAAAAAATTTATAGACCCATCCCTGTTTCTTCACCCCGCTCAACAAAATTCCTGGCTCCATCCCTGTCTTGGACTACTGTTTATTTAAAGTGTCCAATTATATTTTCACTACCAAAATACAATCCCTTAATTATTATTTTTTCTGCCAAAATAAATTTATATTTAAAAAAAATAGTACTTCGTAATTCAAGGGACTATTAAGGACAGAGAGACATTGAAACAAAAATTATTGCACAACACAGCCTTGACCATCTTCCTTCATATAAATTAAGGCACGCCTTATCCTCTGCAAAAGAAATCAAGAATAATTGATAATTAACATTTTTTTTTACAATAATAAGTGCAAAAACAGAACAGAACCAAATTGCCAGAGAATTCAATAATTCATTCTAGGGTACCAGGTTGGGAAGTACATAAGCTCAAAAATTGAAAGGAAACAAAAATAATGCTTCACATTCAACACCTATACAATTTTCTCGAAAGAATCACTAGAATTTTAGTAAGAGCATCCTTAAGCATCTACATCAGAGGAGAAATGGGAGAGAATTCACTACTTTTGAGGCCAAAACGCCATGGTGACAGAGAGAGAACCAAGAGAGAGATATTACTCTGTCACCATCTGTGCAAAGGTTGAGATATTACTCTGCCCAAGAAAAAGGAATTAATGATGGAAGAGAGAAAACCAATAGAGAAAAGACATGCTTATTATATATATATATATATATATATATATATATATATATATATATATATATATTTTTTTTTTTTTTTTTTAAATCAGTTTTGATTCTTTTTCCTCTCCTCCCACATTATTCTTTTTCCTACTCACTCTTACATTCTCCCCCTAATATCTCCAACCGATAAGGATGCTCTTCAGTTGGAATATTAGGGGGAGAATGTAAGAGTGAGTAGGAAAGAGAATAATGTGGGAAGGGAGGAAAAAAAATCAAAACTGATTTTTTTAAAAAATATATATATAAAAAATAAGCATGTCAGAGTAATTCATTTTCTCTATTGATTCTTTCTCTTTCATCATTAATTCCTTTTTCTTGGACAGAGTAATATCACAACCTTTGCGGATGCTCCTCACCCCTTCTCTCTCTTGGTTCTCTCTCTGCCACCATTGACGTTTTGGCCTCAAAAGTAGTGAATTCTCCCCATTTTTCCTATGATGTAGATGCTCCTAATACTAATGTTATGCGTATAGATATATTATTTCAAATGCTCAATGCTAAAAACAAAGATTTAACTATATTTATTGCTTTCATTCTGGAAATAAATAAATAAAAACAACTTTATCCCCCGTGTATCAATAACTCATGGCACTAATTATGTTGTACACTAAAAGTACGAACAAATTGTTCATTATTCAATATCTTTATCTTTATTTTCAGTAACAACCCGTTATAGAAGGGGTTCACCTTAAAGAGATTGTGAAAGAACTCAAAAAGTTATCAGCCAGTTAAATTGATGAAAAGCCAATGAATTCAGGTGAAGAATACCTCGTCTGTATCTCGTAACTTAAGGAGCTCTAATCTTTCAGGTGGCCTCCTATTCGTCAATGTACATAGCTGTATTTAGGCAAAAAGGCGAGGCTATTAGTTTTTGTTGCTCTCTTGCTCAACATGAAAGGGATTTAAGGTTTATACCCAGAAACTAAAATGCTCAGGATCCTGTGTTGAGGGCATCAATCCTTCTGCTCTATGGAGTTCAGCAACCCGTGCACGATCTGTAAGGAAATATATGTATATATATATTATTAGAACATAAGAGTAAGAAACATATCAACTCCTGGACAGTAAAGTCTACCCAAACTCCGCATGTAAATTTTATCAACATTAACCAAAAATCCAAAAGTGATATGTTTGGAAGTATGATGCTTGGGAAAATACGAGTGAGGATATATAATAAAATAAGAGAGAAATAGTGATAATTTTCCTTTATCAGAAAAATTGATAATAACTAAAAATAAATATTATCCAAAAGATAACTAAGTGTTCATTTGGCCAAAACAAATAAGGGGCAAAAACAATCCATACTAAGACAAACTTACAAAAGGAGCTGTCAGTATATACTTCTTTTTAAAAAACATTTAGAATGAATAAGCAAATTTTGAAATATAAAATTTTCATTCAAAAGTCTGTATCTCTCCAAAAAAAATACAAGTTTAAAGGTAAATTGTCTCTTATCTACTCCAACAAAAAGGACTTTGCACCAAAACATTGTTTATCCCAACATATGACTTCTTGGATTAAATAAGAGTCAAGCTACGTGCAAACAAGCACTAAAAGTATTTAATATTGGTGCATTTTTTTCACCCATATTGAAATGAAATCCAAGTAGAATTGTCTAAAGAATAATTGGACAAAATTATTAACTCCATATAGCAGAAGGTATGAGAGACAGCAACTTTGAGAAGAACTTTTTCAAATGAACCACGCCACATCAACATAAAATGGGCTAAAAGCCAAAGGATCCAATTGATACCAGAAAATGGCAAGAATCACTGAGGGAATACTAAAAAAATGTTTATGCACACTTGTCAATGATTACCTCCTCGAGCTGCTCGCTGTGCAGTGTGCAACCACTCTTGAGCATAGGCTGCTGTCCTATTTATCATCTCTTGTAACTGTTGAGCAAGTGAAATGACACCAAACATAAGCCATTAAAATTTTTTAAAAAATACAACTAAATGAACAAATTATATTGATCAAGGTGGTTTTCACACACTCAAGTCAACAACAGCAACCAGAGGCCAAGAGACATTAACGACTGAGGATTCTGGTAGTTTTTACAATTCTTTTCTCTTATAGTATATTCTTTCTCTACATTTGAAGCTCTTCATGATCATAATATTAAAAGCAAAGAAATAAATACGGAGCAGTAACCTGTACTCCTTACAAGTTACAAGGCATTGAATGGTAACTTTTGAACATAAACGTTTAGTTAACAAAGAACATCATAGTTGTACTTGTACAACAAGAGAATTTTAAAAGTAAAAGATGTATGATCCAAGTTATGCAACCAAAATGGGCAAAAAGTAGAGTACAACATGCATCTTGTAGTGCATAATTCTCAATAGAACAGAACAAAGTTTCCAAAACCTGCATATCTTATGTCTTTAATCAAGACTGGAGCATGACTTACTTCATGTCTCTCTCTACTTCCCTCGGCTGGACAAACATCATGTACCCATTCAACTTCAGCAACTCGATACCTTCATGGCAAGACAAAGCCAAAAGATAAATTTTAAGAAGCACATGAATGGAATTCCATCCGAGAGAGAAAGAATTTTCAAAGGCACTAAATAGCTACTCCGAATTAATTTAACTAACCCATCTTGATCCCAGTTTCGAACAATACGACATCTTCGGCGACTTTCAACCTGCATTAAGTACCATGTTATTTGATAAAAGGAAAACTTAACAGCAATAATGTGAAAGGGAACAGTTCAAAAGGAAAGCTTCAGCACTAGCTATTTATTCCTAGCTAATCAGCGTGACATAATAATAAGCTAATGAATAGGAATATGAACCAGTCTATTAAAAAGGACAAAAAGCTAGAAGTAAGCACCAAGGCTCTCCAATACTAACATAAACTAAATACAAAAGTGAGGGCTTCCCATACATCATACTTGATTATACCTGCCTAATCTATTTGATAAGAAGTAATATAACTCATGAGGTAAATTACAAAAGCCACCCTGCAACTCTGCAAGTCTTTCTTGATTATGGATAGCTATCTTCTGAAAATTACAGGACTCCAAAATACACTAGTTTCCAAAACAATAATTAACACTGAAAATGTGTTAAATCAATATATATACTAAAATAAAAGCCATGAGCAGACTAGAAAATAGAAAGAAAGTTTAATCTAAAGACAAAAAATGTGATTACTAGGTTAAAATATGAAATACTATAAAGAGAACATGCTTCATAAAATGAATTCATATTCACCTCTAGAAGGAATCGCCCATCCGGAAGTGGCTCACAGCTACATGAAGAATGAAGAATGAAGAACATGTTATCAACTCCAATGATAAGAATAGCATAACAGAAGTAGTTTGGTCTAGTCGTCTAGAACCATAAATATTCAGACAAAATAGCATGTGAAACACCTACTCTGTTATCTCCACTTCACAACCATATTCAGCTATAGAACCTGTTGCAGAATCAACAATAGCCTACATCATTAATGTAACGTCTCAGCACAAATTAGCATGGCACTTAACAACCAACTAAAATATTTAAGGTGAAATCTTGAAACATATAATCTACCATTCCCATACGACGATTTCCTTCCATTATCCTCCTCACCTATTAGAAAACAGTGTAAGAAAATCAAGCATAGAAGATTTATTTGGACTTCTCAATCAACTGCAGGATGGTCTAATCCACAGCATTTGAAATGTAATGAGATCAATATTGTTATGCATAAATCACTGTTAGCCATATCAACACACTGATTAAGGCCGTATTAACTAATTGCAGCAAAGACATAAATAATCGGGCACATTCAGTTGTTGGCGTGGACAATAAATTCATGTAACACTAAATATTTAGAATGTTGCATCAGTTTACTTATCACAAGAATGGTCCAAGTCAAATTGCAAATCAGCTTATGCTTTCGTAGAACCAACTGCATGGAGATCATTAGAAAATCACTAATTTGAGATGCTATAACTCTTTCTCATAGCTTTTCATAACGGATCAACCCACTAAAATGCAAACTGGGATCAGAAATGTTGTCAAATCAGGAAGAATAAACAGATGCCAGAAGTTTGCATCAACCATAAAAATATATATATATATATATATATATATATATATATATATATATATAAAATTAAAATCACATTAACTCACCATAAGCCTATAACGAGGCTCAAAAATGTTAAGTTGAATCTTCTGACATGGTAGAATAACATCCATTACAAAAAGAGGCAGCAAATCAACACCAAGGTTAATCAAGCAATCATTCTCAGTTTTCCTTTCAGCATACTCCTCAGGAAAATTCTTCTGAATGATGTTATTCAATGTCACACTGCAAAAGGCAAGAACAGTTAATGCAACAACACCAACGAAGAAAGACAGTTTTCTGTAGGTTCATCAACCCATTAAAAGCATGTTTCATTGTTTCCAAGGCACTCACCTGATAGCACAAGATCTGGTACTAAGAAATAGAACCGTCCGGCACAATGGACATCTGTTACCTAAAATTTTCATTAATGTCAAAAAGAATAGAAGACAGAAAGAAATACAAATGGAGAAACACTAAGAATTATATATGTACAAACACTCAGGCATATCACATATGCAGCTTATATATATATATATATATATATATATATATATATATATAGAGAGAGAGAGAGAGAGAGAGAGATACAAGGGATGGAGACAAAAATTAATTAATTAATTAATTAACTGAACTTGAAGAAGTGATAAGGAGCAATGAGTTTATAATTACATCGATCCATCGATTGAAAAAGACAAGAGCGGCAAAAAGAATGCCCACATGGAGTCGTAATTGGTTCATATAATAATTTTAAACAAAGAGTGCAATCAAAATCATCACTGCGCTGTGGTTTTCCATGGATTCTCCTTCCTTCATTGATAAATCTTGCTAAATTTTGTAGAGGAAAGCTGCAATCAGAAAATAACATTTGAGAAGTTCAGTTGTAAAGAACTAGAAAGAAAACAAGTTAAAAACATTGCTTTATTTGCAACACTACCTTAGGGGGTCAATATGAAGGCCTGAATAAATAACATCTTGAGCAAGTTCATATTTTTCTAACTGCCATTCATATTAACATGAATGTGAGCATTTGAACGAATTATCAATTTGTAAATATTCAAATAAAAGAAGAAAAACAAACAGTAAATTGTGCATTGTCTTCCAACTAAATACTGAAAAGTTAGTGAAGATGAATGCAACAGTAAAACACATAAATGCCGTTGCATATATGAGTGTCTACCCAATAGACATACATACTCATTCAAATAGTATAAGATAACAACATCATCAATATCAAACCAATTAAAATCTAGCACAAGATGCCAGATAAATCAAATAGAAAGTGAGTTTGTCAAGTGAAGAAGTAAATTTTCAACCACTTCAATCCTAAATCACCTCATATCATGCATGCTCTAAGTGCAAGACTGTTTGGTCAAATGATATTTTTTGAATTATAATCATATCCTTACCATAACAAGTGCATTTGCCTTCAAAATGTATGATTTTACTGAACTGCTTCGCAAGCTCACCACCTTCTCAGCATCCTTCAATGCAAGCTGCAATTCAAGGTAAAAATTTAAAAACATTGTCTGCAAGACCTTGAGGATGAGCGATGCTATTAACCAGGAAGAATAAGAGGGCACACCCCAGCATGGGTTGTTGGATCCAGCCCACTCAGTGGCCTAGTTTCTGAATCTGATGAAGATCTATTTTTCAGAAACAGGCTAAACCTGGAATAAAATTAGATGATGGCATAGTAAAAATTAAGTTCACTCCTCATATTAACTGAAACCCATCACCACGCTCAACAGTCAAGTGAGAGAGCTGACAGTAACAATTCAAAAATAGGTAGGAAATTACCTAAGGTATGACGCACATCTGTTGCCAAGGATGGTAGCATCATTTGGTTTTACATTGCTAGCTTTGGTGTAAAAATTGATAGCCTGGTCAAAGAGAAATGTCAGTCAGAAAAGTAGATCCAGATGAAGTTAGTTCAATTTAAAACAACAGGACATGTCTTGTTGCATGAAACATCATGTGAAAGATCATTTTTGGCTTCAACTGGCAAAGACCATGGAGCTGATAAACATTTTGAGATAGAAAAATAAGTGCGGCAGAATAACATCCAGATAATCATGCCCATAAACATAGACCTCACCTACCAACCATCTTTACCCACTTTGCAATCAGGATAGAATTCCACCCTTAAGAATCCATCCAATTCCTAGGCTAATTTATATCCCTAAATTTAGAGGGCTTTGGGAATATCTACATTTTTTAATAAACAAGGAAAATCACTACACTCCAGATAACACTAGAACTGACACCCAACCAATATTGTACTACTTAACAATTACTTAGAACTCAATATACTCAAAGACAAATATAGGTCAATGTCAAAGTTGTGCGCAATCAATCATATTCAAGTTACAAAGGAATTGAACTAACAATAAAGCTTTTTTATTCATATTATAATTATAATAATTAAAAAACATGTAAAAACTAAAAATACTAATCATCAGAAGTGCATTGATTCTGTAAAGCAGTTGAGTAAGACTAAACGACTAGGAAATAAATCCACCTCATCCAATCTATTGTCCCGGAAGGCATTATTCCCCATCCGCACAAGATCCTGGAGATGACTGAACCGCTCAAATGACATCGAAGGATCTCCTTCACTCGCCTGCATTCATGTAAGTTAAATCTCAAACCTCCATTTTCCAAGCTTTCAGTAAGCAGAAAACCATCATTATCATGAAAATTTAAAAATAAATAAATAAATAATAATAATAATAATCACCGATGGAATGTCCTCGACGTCGTCAACCCCTTCCAAACCAAACTCCGGCAACGACAAAACTCTGGCCGACATTCTCGCCGATTACTGCCTACCAGTCCAAACAGTTTGAGATAGAAGAGGACGAACAGTGTATATATATCTGATGAAGTTCAAGCGGAGGGAGTCGAAACAAAACGGCACCGTTCGAACGCGTGATGTATCGTGTTCTCCCCTGTATCCTTCGTGCCACACATGGATCGTATTCGTTTACGTAGTCTCTATATATATATATATATATGATCATTTCTTTCTCTCTCCTATATCTATATCTAGATAAGTATTTTGTTCTCACAAGCCCCCCAAAATTTATAGCAAAAGTAAGGTGGGAGTGTGAGACTGGGAGTTAAAATAATTGATTATGGTAATAGGCCAAGAGAGCCGAGAGCGTCATCTGATGTCAACGCCCGGTTTGGGTGCTGCCGGCAAATTAGGGTGTGAATTACGGTACAAAACGACGTAGCTTTGATGATAACAAAAAATATTTGGAATAAGAGTCAAATAGGCTATTGAACTGCACCCAATAATGCAATTAGGCCACTGAACCAAAAAAACAACAATTAGGCCACTAAACTAAACAATTTCATTCAATTATTCTAATTTACAGGTTTTGTAGGTTACTAACAGGTCACTCAAACAATTTAAAAAATTTTTTTAAAAAATATTATTTAAAAATAATAAATTGAAAAAAAAAAAAAAAACTCGTCTCTGCCGGAGACGAAGAACCTTCTTCGTCTCCATGGCCGGAGACGGAGAGTCTCTTCGTCTCCGGCCATGGAGACGAAGAAACTTTCTTCGTCCATGGCCGGAGACAAGAAACTCGTCTTCGGCGGGGATGGTTAATGTTTTTTTTTTTAATTTTAATTTATTATTTTTAAATAATAATTTTTTAAAAAATATTTTAAATTGTTTGGGTGACCTGTTAGTAACCTACAAAACCTGTAAATTAGAATAATTGAATGAAATTGCTTAGTTTAGTGGCCTAATTGTTGTTTTTTTAGTTCAGTGGCCTAATTGCATTATTGTGTGCAGTTCGATGGCCTATTTGACCCTTATTCCAAAATATTCTTACTCTGTGCATGTGTTAGAATAATGAACATTTTAGAATAAATAATACTTTGTATATTTTATGAATTAGAATAATGTACTTTATGTGTTAGAATAATGAAATTTCTATAGTAAGATAATGTATTTTATGAGTTAGAATAATGTATAATGCATTGTGTTAGAATAATGAAATTTTTGGGGTAAAATAATGTACGTTATGAGTTAGAATAATGTACTTTATGTGTTAGAATAATGTGTTTTATGTGTTTTTCGATCATGGTCCACACAGCTGTGTGAACTATGGTCCACGCAATAATGATTGGGTGTTGTCACGGTTGGTTATTCTTTGTGTTACTAGTATTTTATATGCGCAATGTGTGAAAGTATATGTCCAACATTAATACTTAATGTTAAAGTATTAATTATATTTAAAAAAATCAAGTGAGAGTATATAAAAAAAAATCTTAATTATAATAAAGTCATATGGTCTTGTGAAAATTAAATGTTTATATTAATGGTTAAATGTTGATGTTAACAATATTTAATTTTCACAAGACCATATGGCTTTAAGAAGCATTCATGCACACCACACGTGCTACCCCAAAGTCCATAAGTTTGAAATTAATATATAGCATAACTAGGCGGCCTAATATTTAAGATTGTTGATGTGCATATCGAGGATTACGGAGACAAAGATGTGTTATTCGTGGATTCATCGGATACTATCCAACAACACTCTCCAACTTAATTGACGTGAAGTAGGCTTAGTAACATTAAGATTATATTCTCAAATTATTAATTCTCATCTTTTATTGATTACACACTTAATTCGATAGTATTTGGAAGAAAAAATAATGTTTGAACTAAGATTGTGATTGTTTGGTCTTTAAAGGTCAATTGTATGTTGCTACATCTAGAATTAGAAATCTCAAAGGTCTAACAATTTTGATCCGTGTGACTCTAAAATTGTAATTCAATTACAACTGTAGTTTACTAAGTTCTTAAAATTTGTAATATTAAATACTATGTACTAAATTTTTAATATAGTTTAAGATTTGTAATAATCACACACCTTAAATATTATTTTAATTGTAAATATATTTATGTTCATAATTTTATCATAGGAATTCACACATAATAATTATTAAATAACAAAAATTTTATATATGAATAAATCTCATATAAGGTAGATTTTTATAACATATTTTGTTGGAAATTGGTGAATAAATCGATACACAAAATATATATAAAATATATATTTATCCCGAAAGATGGAATTTAATTTGTACAAAATTAATTCCAACCAATTTTGGTACGAAACCAAAATTACATATATATACCTCGTATATATATTAACCAACTAGGGATTTATTTTATCAAAATAATCCCACCACAACTAGTACGAAACTAGTACACGGGACTTAATTTTCACGAAATTAATCCCACCACAACTAGTACGAAACTAGTACAGGGATTTAATCTATCCGAGATTAATCCCACCTCTTGGTCCGAAACCAAGAACAAAATAAAAGCAAGAACGGGTTTCTAACCTGAAGTTTTAACCCAACGCGAAGAAACAAGAAGAAGTAGAGGGAGCCCGAGTCGTGTGTACACACACTCTCCTTAAAACCGATTCGCCACCTCCCGAGGGTGGTAGGACCGTTGTGGCGTCAGTCTCCCAGGATAAAACGGACTACGACTTTGGCGTTCGAGCACTCCAACCCAAAGCCCGGCGAACTAGAACACAAGTTGAGCACTCCGATGTTTTACGGAATATGTTTGGCAGAATTTCTTTTCTCTTTGTAAACGGAACGAGAGTTGGGAGAAAACAAAGAAAGATTTTGAGAGTTTCAACCTTGAGCTTCAAAAACATTCTGCCAACATCTTAGTTTTTATAGGGAAATGAGGAATTAGTAGCCCACTAATGGCACATTAAACCAATCATAAATTCAAATTAATAATTGGATAATAACGTTTGAAACGGTCGTAATTATTATCGAAATAATATCAACGGTCACGAACTTAATACGCGATTAATTCGTACCGACCATAACGACCCGTTTCAAAATATCTGAGTGACCGAGAAGTCCGTACAAACCCGAAGGTTTAACGAATTGGGACCGGAAACCACACCCGAGTGGTCCGCAAGCACCGAAACGGTGCAGCACGAATCAATGCATATAGCATTTGATTCGTGCTGGAAGCACCAAATTGGTGCAGCACGAAAGCTCACACGAAAGGAGCTAAACTCCATTTCACTAATTAAGCCTTCCAAGGCTTAATTAATACAAAAGCTTCCTTCCATTCGTCCATGCATCATCACAGCACGAATGCATCCCAATTCAATTAAGCTTTTCAAGCTTAATTACACTTAAGCTTTCAACCAACTTTCGTGCAATACAACGAAAGCTATTAAAATGCTGATTTCTAATTAGCATTTAAACTTAAGTTTTTGACTTCTTTCAAATAGGTTCACTTTGAGAATCAATTTCTCATTCACCTATTATCCATTTTGAGCGTACATTATATCAAATTCTTCGTCTCACTACGAAGAACCCGAATCCACTTTGACCCGACCCAAATCGGAAGTGGATCCCACATATATTTGTATCACAAAATAATCACTCAAAATGCCATTTTTAGCTAAAAATTCCAATAATCCCCCACATGAATGAAAATTGATTTTCGGGACGAGGAAAATCGACACGAACGTGCTCAACGGTCGATCCCTGCATAGCATAGGTAGGTGTTACCCTTTGAACCTTGCCTTGTGAAAATATGTTTACTCTACTGGCTGTATGGTAGAACTTGATGTCTTTGAACCAACTGCCGTTTGTGTAGACGATGACATATCCCACAGAGGAACCTTCCAACCTTTGTTCTGTTCTCATGGGTGTGCCCGTTTTGGTCATGGGTCACTTTCCTGGTTCTGCGAGAGTTTCTAAAGAATTGAGCCCATCAATTCTCCTTTGAAGCGACCCCACTTCTCTCTAACATAGGTGATTCTTTATCGAGTATCCCGCATACTCACACATGTCAACCGACATTCGAATCATTAAAGCATCAACATGCTAGCCTCGTGCGGGAGTCACTGTTCTAACGAGGAATGGTAGGGAGTCCGAGACCCCCACAGTGACACGCTTCGTTCCATAATTTAGTTGTCCCATTGAACCTAGGTGCCAGCTAGGTTGGGTGTCCACTATAGAACTTTTATTCCAAGGGCTTCAAACCCATTCCTCGTGCCAACTTCTCAACAACATCTTTGCTCAACCCTTTGGTTAGCGGATCCGCTATATTGTCCTTTGACTTCACATAGTCAACCGAGACAACACCCGTTGTGAGTAGTTGTTTAATGGTATTATGTCTTCGACGTACATGTCTAGACTTACCATTATACATATGACTTTGTACTCTCCCAATTGTTGCTTGATTATCACAATGCACACTAATTGGAGGTACAGGTCTATCCCAACAAGGAATATCCTCCACAAAATGGCGTAGCCATTCAGCCTCTTCACAACATTTGTCTAAGGCTATCAGCTCAGATTCCATCGTGGATCTAGCTATCAAGGTTTGTTTCGAGGATTTCCAAGAAACGGCTGCACCGGCTAACGTAAACACGTAGCCACTCGTGGACTTAGAGTCCTTCATATCCGATATCCAGTTAGCGTCGTTATACCCTTCAAGTACAGCAGGATATCGCGTATAGTGCAGTCCCCAGTCACGAGTATACCTCAAGTATCTCATAACTCTCACTATTGCCTTCCAGTGCGCATCACTGGGGTTACTCGTATATCTACTGAGTTTGCTAACCGCAAAGGCAATATCAGGCCTGGTACAACTCATTAGATACATCAAACTTCCAATAATCCTAGCGTATTCTACTTGAGAGATACACTTTCCGCGATTTTTGGACAGATGAACGTTAGTATCTAAAGGAGTCCTAGCCACTTGATAATCATCCTTGTTAAACTTTGCAAGGATTTTATCAACATAATGAGATTGGCTTAACACGAGACCATCAGGTCTTCTCACGATTCTAACCCCAAGGATTAAATCTGCCAAACCCATATCCTTCATGTCAAATCTCGAATTTAACATGTCCTTGGTAGATTTGATCATTCGATCGTTACTACCCACGATGAGTATATCATCCACATATAAACAAAGAATGACAT